CCAGCCCGCTCAGAGATGTGTATAAGAGACAGCGCGCGCTTCGCGCGCACTATTTAACAGTTCTTATTATAATTTATAATAACATCGACCTCAATATATACAACTGTCAAAATGCAATGACACAGCCGCTTACACGAAGTTAGCGCAGCGAGACAACCAATCAACATCGCGGAAAAGCGACAACAAATAATTCGAGATAATTTTCGAGAAATGCGAGTTATTGACTTTACATACACTTTTTTAGATAGGAAAATATGATAGGTTTTTTCATCACAGATAAAATATTTTAAAAAATCAAATTTTTTCTGCATCAAAGAGATATCTTGAAAATAATTCTTGAAATCATAAACTTTAAAATTCGCAAAAATTGTACATAAAACTGCAATAAATTGGCATAACCATTTAGAGAAATAATAAAATATAACAAAAAAGAAATATAACAAATTTTTTAAAATAATTTTTTATAGTGCATTTTCACTACAAAAAAACAATTTTAATTCTATGGGATTTATGTCAAAACTGTTATGGCAATTTATGAGGACGTACATTGCATTTATTCTAAAGAAGTCAGATCGTTATTGTTTAATAAACACCTGAGATATCATGCGCGCAAGCTCCAGAAAAAGAAAATGGAGAAAAACAGCCTCAAAATTTTTAAATTACATGCATTCCTTTAAATCATGCTTAATTATTTCTTTTTGTTGCCCCCTTTTAACATAGAGAAAAAGATTAAGACAGAAAAATTAAATATCTCACCATTTTTGTATGAAAAATTTTATCTTTTTTTAGTTTACGCTCTACTGCACGTAATTCTTCAAGATTTTTTAATGGGAGCTCTTTAATTACATCAACAGCAGGCACAATATCATTTTCAGGCTTCTTCGTTACTACTGCTACAGTTTGTAAAAAAGTCTCCATGTTTCTGTCAGTCTTGCGCGATAAAAGGTTGCACGATTTCACTTCAGCTAAATTAAATTAAATTAACAAATATTAAATTTTTTGTTTCTTTCAAAGAAAGCATTGGAAATATTCTTAAAAAATTAAGTATATCATATATAATAAATTGACAAAAATATTTAGCTTTTTATTGTAATATTAAATGCAAAAGAAAATCATTGTTATTAGATAACTATGAAAAAAACTTCATTTTGTAAAAATTCAAAATAGTTTCTCAATATTACTATATGTAACTAACAGTAACTCATATAATTAAACTCAAATTATGTATGTACATCTAACCTAGCTATCCTAACTACCAGTTAAAATTTTATTACAATATTTAAAAATAGAATTTTCCGAAAGTTAACCAATTTTAGACCAAAAAATGTTTATTAATAGAAATTATGTGGTAAATTATAAGACTGTAAATTTGAATATTGACATTAATCATTTTAAAGAATATTTTTGTTTTACATTTAATTTATAATTAAATATTTAAGTTTTAATTTATAATTAATAACAACAAAATAACCTCCAAAAAATAATTACTGAAATTTTTAAAAGTACTGGTAGCATGTCCAATACATATGTCTAGATTGCCACTTTCATAGCTGTCGTAGTTTAGAAATTACTAAAATAAGAAAACTTGATTTAGATATCCTTTACGATTTTTTTCCGGAAAACGGTTATGCGAAAGTAGTAGTAGATCCTAAGACTTCAGTTTGTAGGAGCGAGAATAAAAAAATTTAATTAGTCTAATACATTTATGTAAACAATATTTTCAACATACCACTCAAATAACAAAGTACATCGGCCACGGATTGCAATGTGACCTCTCCTCCTTCTACATAAGCACATTTGTGTATGTTTGAACGTATTTTGCAGCCTTTATTACTGCTAGTAACAGCTTTTTCAGCTTTGCTCGTTTCGGGCTTTAATGTCCGTTCCTTAATGGGAAAATTGTCTTTTATGGGCTTTGTACGTGAACTGGAATTCGGCCATGGTGGTAAGTTGTTTAAATCAGATGAAGCTCCGTGTTCGGAAGGCCAATTCATAGTTGCATCCACTTTATCATGACTTGTTTGTGAAAAGTCGCTTAATTTTGGAACAGGTGGTAACATATTCTGTTGTTTCTTTTTGCGGACATTATTTTCTTTGTCGGAATCGACAAAACGCATGTTTATTTTTTTTACTCGCTTCCCCTTTCCTTTCTCCTCAAAATCCGAATGCAGTGATGCATTCGGATTTTTAGATAACTTAACAAGCATTTTCATGCCACGCTCATAGTTCTCTGTATAAAAATTATGAATTGTATATATTACAGCAACAGAGTGTAAATTATTGTAAAAGACAAATTATTTAATAAAATTGTGAAATTATCAAATTTACCAATGCCTTCTTCGATCTTTCTGATCGGAAAACAATCCCATTCCGAATTCAATTTTGCACATTGTTTGACTAATTTTTGTATTGTCCCTTGATGTTTGTTCATCGGGTACCAACACATTGTGCCCAATGTCGAAATCCACGATGATGGAACCAGGTCGTTGAAACTATCTAGATTGTTTTCATCATCAGTATCGAAATGAACAATAGACCATGCTGGAGTAACGATCATTTTTTCACGGGATTCGTCTTCATGATCAATATCATCGCCTGATAAATTATCACTTTTTTTTGTATTTGACGAATTCTTTTCGTCGGTCATTTTTTGATAATTTGTAATTCCTGAAGAAATAGAAACAATACATAAAACATTTATATTATTTTACAATTACATAAGTTTAGTGGATAAACAATAACATTAGTGTATTATAAAGCTGGACGCATGATCAAAGGAATAGGGAACAGAAAAGAATTTCAACCTGTCTCAAAAATCGTGTATTCCACTTATATATTCACTTATATACATATATGGTTTAGGTTTAGGTTAAAATTCTTATTCTGATCTGTTCCCTATTCCTTTGATTGCACTTCCAGTTTAATTAATAAGAAAATAAGAATATGATAATTTGTAATTGAATAATTCACAAAAGATTCAAAAATTTAAAAAAATTATTGAGCAACATCCAGCTTCGGCCGTTAATTCGTAGTTTTCGTAGAGCTTAGAACATGAATAAATGTTAGAAAATAGTATGCGTACAAACATAAATTTTTATTTGCGTAATTATTATAATAACTAAGTAGTCAAAATTTATGCTTTGTTTTAAAAAATATATTTTCTACTAAATTATTATTAATATGAAAACCGCAACTTAGATACTTATTTAAAACATCATAAAATATTTATCAAAATTTTGTCAAATTTTTTTGCCACTTTTTTTTATTATAAATTGATAATTTTTGAAAAATATGGAAAAATCAATATTTTCTACTGTAAATTCAAATAAATAGTTAATATCTCTTATAATAATTCTATTTTTAGGGGATTTTTGGGTAACTGTCAGGTCATCCTAATCTGAGGTCTAAATTTTCAAATTTTAAAATTTAAAATAGCGGAATCGGTACAATAAACCAAAAACAAACACAGTTTTATTTAAATTAAAAAATTTTAATTTCTGATTTGTAATCAGCGACTTAAAAGATTCCCGGATACAAAATTTAAAAAAAATCGGTTTGATACAAAAATTCGTGACACAAAGGGTTAACAAACATATAACATCAAATGTTTTAGTCTTTTGGCATTTATCAATTTTATTGTGCATGCCATTGATCTCCGTGTTTTCATCACATTATAGCACGCATTTAGTATGTCAACGTTTCGCATACATTGTACAGAGTTTGCTTCCTCAGGACTACTGATTTAGTCCGATGTAAGAGTTCCACTCTGAATATTCCTTTATTAAAAGAGAAGAGGGTGAAAGAAATATAAAAGAATGCTCTGAGATAAACAACTCATATATTGGACTAAGTCAATAATCCTAAGAAAACCAATTACAATGATTGCGAAACGCCTGGATATAAAATGCATATTACACACGGTGGAAAATCAGAAATCAAAGGTATAATTGCAGTAATATGCAGTAAAAATAACACTACACACTTTTCAATATTCTTAATTATAGTACTTTTTAATTAAAACGTATTTTCTATGCATATAACACATGATTTGATAAAAAATTGGAAGAAGTTTATTAATAGAAGCAGAACTTTTAATTTAAAACCCGACATGAGCAGTTCTATCTTTATATCCATCTGTACAATAAAACAAGATGGATGAGGACTGAGGTTCACCGATGGAAATATTCTTTCAAAAAATTGAGGTGAAGACAGATTATGACACATTTTGTCTAGTTTGTTTTGTAAAATAAACTAGAGATTTTTTGTCGCAGTACATTTTTGGTCCTTATATATCAATTACCCCGTTGCATTATATGTATTGCACTTCACAAATTGTAATATTGGTTTCCCTCATTTACTATATGTGTATATTTCTTGTTGCTCATTCAGTATATGTATGCAATTTTACCCGTAGTCCCGTTTTTATTTTATTAATGTTTTAGTGCAAGTTATCAACTGTTACAATCACGCAACTTATGTTATATAATTACATGCAAGTGATTCATATTCACCTGTGCTTTTGACTCTTGTCGCACTTCATAGTAATAATATGTAGCTATTATAAAGTAAAAAGAAGAAATAAAAGAAGAAATGTTGCTATAATGAGATGAAAAGAAAAAAAAATAAAAAATAAGATAGCAGGTAGTGATCAAAAAATAAGATAGCAAATAAAATAAAAAAAGAATAAGATAGCAGGTGATGATCAACTATGCAACTACGGCTCGTCACAATGCAAAATTGACAATACTACATATTCAGTTTTGTACGGCAACTGAACATATTTTATGCTAATTTCTGACAATGGCCACATTTTAAGAGAAGATAATTTGTTTACTTTAAATATTTCCACTCGGCTACTCTCACAAGGAGTAGTATAAAAATCACATTTCTTAATAAATTCCCTACCAATCACGACGGGAGCCTGCAAATAGTTAGAAAAAGCTATGTTCTCAACTATTATAATATTACCAGAAACAGTGCCACAGCAATTGTCAGGGCTTTTAATCGTTATTTTAAAGTGTGAAAGCGCAACAGCACGATACTGTCGCGTACAAGCTGGCAAAACCGGACCAGCATTATGGAGATAAAAAAACTTTGGAAAATGTCTTTCTTGCACTTGTGCTGAAGGATGATCAGACTCAAATGACATGATTTCTCCCATTCATCGTCCGATTTGTTCAAGTGGCTTACTGCGACCTCTGACTTTCCTCTTTATGTCCTGCATATAATTTTCAAAAGGAAATGCAGATATCGCATTCAAGGAGAAATCAAGTAATTTATCTACAAAATAATCAGCATCATCAGTTATATGTACATTGTTATGGAAATTGTGTGCAATAAAATTTTGATTGTACAATGTTGCCGTCGACTGAACAAAGTGTTTCAACAGAGCTTTGACATATTGACGAAGTTCCTGCTCTTTACACCATTTCGGGTTTAATAAAATTCTCATTGAGACATGAAATTCTAAAAAATGTATATACTTTTCTTCGCTGAGAATATTTTTCAGCGCAAGCGGTCCTACATACAGAATAAATAATCTAAATTCCGTGGCTTTCCACCGTAAAACAATTTCCACTTCTCTAGGCTTTCTTGAAAATTCTGCAGAAATACAAGATTGATACGAAACAAGACGATTTGAGAGCAAATCAATTTGAGTAGCCGAAAGTCTATGAGGAATTGCTCCCTTGTACCAGATATTAATAATCATTGTGCGCATTACACCAAGGCACTGTAGGTGTAAATAATCAAGGACAAAATGATGTACAAAATCTAGACCTGCAATATTTATAAGAGGGGTATCTCGAAGTCGAAAATTAGTATCTCTCCGTTCCCGAAAATCCTCACTAGTGCGAGAGGGGCTTTCTAAATCTAGGAAGATTCGTCGATTGTCTGAAGTCACGCCTCAAACGGTGCATCTAGTGCAGGAATTAAAACCTGTATGTGATACTGTTCCCATTATGTAGCTTTTTGCTGGGGCATCACAAACGAAATAAATGCCATCTAATTGTACGGTTTGATTTTCAAAATAAAGGCCATTGTTTTTGATACTATTAATTTCGGTAATAAAATCTAGTAAGTAGTCCTCTAGATTTGTTGGTTTTTCTTTGCCGTAATATATTCCGATAGGAAACACTTTTTTACGCAATTATGGAACAGACACTATACTGCATAATATAGGATACACTTGACCAGGCGAACTTCTAAATAAAGGTAATCCGTCAATATTAATTAATAATTGAAAAGATCCTACATTTCTTAAGTACTTGGGAGCAAGTTTTAATAACTGTTTTTGCAAACCAATGTGAATATAATAGCCAGGATCAACAATTTTTTTAATTAAATTTACATTTGTTTTAAGCAGTGTACGTGCGTTGACCGGAAATCTAGGCTCTGACTCGCCATCGGCAAAACAGTTATGATTTTCTTTCAATCCTGATAGTAAGTCCGAAATGGCTTCGTGCGTTATATTGTGTTTTATAGACTAACTACGAAGAAATTTTAGCATTTTCGAATTATCAGAAACTGATTCTTCGCTAGACCGAGAACTCGAATTAGATGGAGAGTTGTGTGGGTGATTGGGAGAACCATCATTATCGATATATTCATGTTTTACACTTTCCTCATAATCATCACTACCCCAATATTCAAACTGTTCAGAACATTTAGAACTTTGATCAACTTCGGAATGATAAGATATGTCAGAATAGTGAGAAAGATCAGAATGGTAGGAAAGTTCAGAACGATGATCAATTTCAGAATGATGAGAAAGATTAGAATGATAAGAAAGTTCAGAATGCTGAGAATCACTAGAAGTAGCTTCCTCTACATCTTCAGCATTAAGTCTCCGTATTTTGGCTTTTTTGCACAGTTCATGAAAAGGTTTCGGCATGTTCTTCGATGAACTGTAAGTAAATTTAAATATAACTAGAAACCTTACGCAAAATAATAGTGTAATACAGAAAATAATTATAGTCTAACAACTCCTACACTTAAGCAGAGTTAGGAAACAATTATGATTATGGCTTTACACATATGTATATAGTCCATTAGGTAAAAATTTAAAAAAGTATATACTTTGAGATCTGTGAATTGAAAAGTGATGTAAGTCTTTGTAAAAAAGAGCTAAAAGAAAAAAAGCTGTCACGACACGCAAAAAGAACGATTTTCAGATTGTTTAAGAGATACGACAGTAAAGAATATGAAATACAAGAAACACGGAAACAAATTTACTGAATCTTTAAAACTTTTCAGTTAATATATTTTTATTGATAGTGGTCGTATGGTCTATGATTATAAAAGGCTACTCGAATGTATTGCTATCAATTATAATAATTAATAGATGCTTAGATAAAAAACGGAAGAAATAATTAAAGATGAAAATAAATAAAATAAAACAAATAATACTAAAAAACATATAGAAAACTTGATAACGCTGAAACTAGTAGACGGACCCTAGTAGACGGCTGCCGCGCGACAGCGCTCGAGAAACAGTGCTCAAGGTTTTGCTCTCGAGTATCTATCGCGTTAAAGATTTGTTCTAAGCAGATTATTTCAGAACAAACATTATGCGCCACTTGAGAACAGTCTTACAAAGTGACATTTCAAGTTTAATAAAATAACTCCGGTAAAAAACAATAAATATTATCTTCCAAGACTTGCAAGCTATATTCGAAAATATATTTTCTGGAAAATTGTTAACTTTTTTTGGAGAGGCCTTTCCTTAAAACTTTGCACATGCGTTGTACACACTTAATAATAATGCCATTTGCAGTTTTAAAAAAAGCCCCTTTTCAAACACTTTCTGGAGTCAAGAACTATGTAAATCTAAGCTTCCGTCTATAATTTTGTTAATAACTTTTTTTTCTGAGAGGAACCTTTTTTTAAAACTGTGTAGGTGACCTAATATTACCACAACGTGTGTGCAATGTTTGAAGAAAAGACCCCTCTCAGAAAAGTTACTAACAAAATGAATAGAAAGAAAGTCAGATTTGCATAGTTCTCTCCCATAGAAAGTAATTGGAGAAAAGCTTTTTTTTTAAACTGTGCAAGTGACCTTCTAATACAACACGTAACGTGTGTGCAAAGTTATAAGAAAAAGTTCATTTTAGAAAAAAGTTATTACAAAATTTCCAAAAAATATCATATTTTCTAATGCAGCCTGCAAGTTCTTGGAACTTCTATTTATTGTTTTTTTTACCGAGTTCTTTCTATTAAATTTAAAATGTCACTTATGTAAGACTCAAGTGGCGCATAACGTTTGTTCTGATATAATCTACTTAAAACAAATGTTTAGCGCAATAGATACTCTAGAGTAAAACTGGATTGAACATCGCTGTTCGAGCGCTGTACGTCGCGTGGCAGCCGTCTGCCAGATCCATCTGCTTCAGCGTCATGAAAACTTGGCTAAAAATATATTAAAAAATGTATTAACAAGTATTGTAAAGAATTTATTAAACAAATTGATAATTTAAAGATTATGATAGATAGCGAAAATTATGTAAAAATTAAATACTATTTCTGCGATTTCATTTCTACAGAATATTTGATAAAAAGTTCAAAATTAGAAGAAAATGGAACTGTTGGAAAAATTGGATACTATCCAATTTTAACAAACATACCCAGATAGACTAATGTATGTAAAGTTTACTGCAACTTATATTTTAACTCAAAAAATATTAAAAACAAAAAAATTATTAATATTTAAATAACACTTTACTTTCCTTTATAACAATACAAAACTGTAACGACAATTCACTTTCAAGATCATTTTCAAAGAGAGTTCATTTCAAAGAGAGATCATGAAATTCAAAATAACTTTATAAATATTTTATCTGATGTTGATGATCTGATTTCATCGAGGATTTCATATGAAATCGATGCTAATAGTCTGGCTAATTTAAAATGCGGAAATTTATATTTTATCAAATATAAATCCTAAAACTAGAGGAATATTTCACAAGTAGTTCGACAAATTGACTATGTCAAATAAAAAATAAAACCAACAATGAAATCTCAAATTTATTGGAACCGGTTTTCTATATGAATGCAGAATTATTGAGGAGGCTAACAATTTTGCGTTATTAAATAATAAAGCTCAATCTCAAATTAAAATAATGTACAAGATAAGATAACTAGATAACAACAAAAACTAAAAAGAATTTAAACTATTTTAAAAATTGCAAATCAAAATTACGGATTATTTCCTTAAAACTGTAACAATAATTATTGAAGATCACCCTGATATACACAAAATACTTCATTAAGTACCATTAGTAGTGTAAAAAATAGACGTGAATTCTTAAATAGAAGTCCAGTTTTCAGATTGTTTAAGAGATACAGCAGTAAAGAAAATCTGCAAGAAACACAGAAACAAATTTACTGTATCTTTAAAACTTCAGTTTATATATTTTTATTGTTGGTGATTGTATGCTCTATAAACTTTTAATATGCTAATCTACAAAATGTATTGCCATTAAATACAACAATTAATTAATGCTTAAATAAAGAAAGCAATATGGTCGACGAGATTATTCAATAATGTCTATTTCTATTAATGTAGATTAACTTTAATTTTGGTTCAATTTACTTTTTATGTTTCTCTAGTTTTAAAAATCAGAAAACGATATAATAAAGATAATTTCTACATTGATAGCAATAGACATAAAAAAATTAAAAGATATATTTCGTTTTTGATTAGTAGTGATTCTTAACAATCACTTCTTGACAACTCCTTGATGTAACGTTAAATTGAAACTTTTTAGTAATTAATTGACTACAATATTGCAACATTTTCATTATAAGTATTATTTATAACAAAATTTCCTTCAGTAAAATTAACCAAATTTACATTTATACGATAATAATAGTAATAATTAATTGGTGTACTACGTCCTAAACCAGTGCCGAAAAAAATATTATTTTGTAAAGACGAGTAATCTCCAATTTAAAAAAATTGCTTACCAACAATAGTATAAGGCACAAACAGCGTGTAAATTATAGGTTAGGCAGCCAAAGAGGTCTTGATGATGCTTTGCAGCTATATATATATGGCAATCGATGAAATAGTTTGTAAAATTGATCTCAATTCGATCTCAATATATGTATGGAAAGTACTTTTTTGTACAACTGTCTGAAACATGATCATAAGTAAATCAATTAATATATATTGTGAAAAATTCTTAACACTGTTAGAAGATAATTAAAAAATATATACATAAATAAATGTATAAAAAAACATATTCGTCCGCTTTTTCATATTAAAAAGCTGCGATAAAAAAACACGAATTTTTATATAACCTGTAAGATGGGTGCATTAGTTTTCAAGTAACCACTACCGTTAAGATAGATACAAAAAGATAACTTACCTTAATTAGTGGAAATGAAATCCCAAGAGGCTAGAAAAGTTCCTCGAAAAATAGCAACGCACTGTATTTCACACAATATTAACGCTATACTTCTACAATATGGAGCATCCGCACGTCTAACACCGGAGAGAGTTTTCTGTTACGCATCGCATTCACTACCGCAACGCTAATAAACGAAATAACTCAAGCGACAAATCAGAGAGGCAGATTCACCTCACGTGACCTATCCGTAGGTATAAACCTGTACCGGGAAGACAGTGTGCGCGCACGTACGTAACGCAGCAAACGACACGGCAACAACGAAAATAAACGAGGCAGACGATGTATGTACGTATTATTTTATTCTTGTTGTTCATTGAATGTTAAAGGACAAGGATAAAATAATACCTCATGCGCATCATGCATGAAATGGAACGCTTCTTTAGTAAAATACCTGCAAAAGATTAATTAATTTAAAAAAAATGTTTTTTTAAATCATTATTTCTAACAAATAATTAATGTAAAAAACATTAAATAAACATTAAAAATTATTTTTTCACACCATTATTTCAAATAAATAATTAATATAAAGTAAACATTTAATAAACGTTAAATAAACGTAAAAAAATATAAGTTCCTCACCACATTTCAAATAAATAAATAATGTATAATAAAAATTTAATAAACGTTAAATAAATGTTAAAAAAATGTTTTTTTTTTATCATTATTTCTAATCAATAATTAATGTGAAATTAACTTTTTAATTTAATAAATGTTTAATAAATGTTTTTTACAACATTATTTCAAATGAATAATTAATGTAAAATAAACATTTAATAAACGTTAAATAAACATTAAAAGTATGTTTTTTTACCATCATTTCAAATGAATAAATAATATATAATAAACATTAAATAAACGTTAAATAAACGTCAAATAAATGTTTTTTGAAACTATTATTTCAAATAAATAAATAATTTTAAATAAACATTTAATAAACTTTAAATAAACGTTTTTTTTAAACATTTTTTTTTAAACGAATAATTAATGTAAAATAAACATTTAATAAATATTAAATAAACGTTAAATAAATGTTATTTTAAAAACAAGTCGTGAAATGTAAAATTAATAAAAAAGAAACGTTTAAAAAAACGTTTAAAAAACATTTTCTGCTGATTGGGGTGCTGGGTAATTTGGATGCATATTCAACACCACCATATTCATCCTGACGTCTTAACAGAAGTGCTTCTTTTTTCTTTAACTCATTATCGACATCATCACTGTCGGGACTTAATGATCTCTTCGTTTGTTGTTTGGTGTGTTTCATATACTGTACACAGTTATATATCTGTAGTCTCAGAGTTTCAATTCCACTACCCCACTGTTCATTGCCGATTATATCTTTAAATGTTAGGGGATACGTTTCGCAAATATTGTGAGCGATTTCTTCAGCTACTGCTCGTGAGGTGGCTTTGATTTCGTTGATCATGTAATCAGCTACGACTCTATTTAGTGACTGTCTGTGCTTTGGAAGTAATTTTTCACCATTTTTACACGCTTCAAATATGCCACTGGGCACTTTATTCCATATTTCTTTCATATCCAAAACATATTTTTCTTGCGACCTGTTTGATTTTGATTTCGACGTACTTGGAGAAGCTAGAAACAAAAATATAGAATTGGGAAAACCATTACATACTTATTTAATAAGTAAAATAGTATGCAGAGCTCGTAAATAAATGTAATTTCATAAAATAAAATATCTGTATTTTTAGTTTTATGCTGTATTATTTCCTCCAAATCAATTAAAATATTTTACTTATTTCAGTAATTCAGAAATAAGAAATGAATATTGAATAAAACTTTTTTTAAATTTTTTATCCAACAACAAGAAACATTTTACTATTTCCACAATTTACTATAAAAATATAATTGTTATATTGGCAAGTATATTTTTAAAAATTATTTTATATAAAAGGACACATGTGGTAACTTTCTAGGTTGGAAATTTCAATCCAAAGAATTGAAATTCGATCTAATGGACGGAGAATTACGGCAATCCAACGTTGAACTTGGGCAATTCTTCATCCATTGGATTGACTTTTATTGTTAGTCCTAAAAATTTAGAGTGTATATAGTAAATACTAAACGTTTATTATTATAATTACCTTGTCTATTTTCGACACTTGTTACACTTAAAACATTGGTATTATTTTCTATGTTCGTTTTTAACGCATTTGTTTCTTTCAAAGCTAATTTTTCACTCCAAATTGTGAGTAACAACGGTGTATTGCACGTATCGGATAACTGGATTATAATATCATCGTCATCTATTTCAGTGCCGTCCTCCAAAGCTACCTACGTATTGGAAATTTAAAAGAAAATAATTTGATTACAGTTTATCGAATAAACGAAATAATTCAAGTTAATAAAAAATGTTAAACATTTTTAATACTATATAATTTATTTACACTAAATAAATGTTTTAATTGCTTAGGGGTACAGTGTACTGTTGAAAATTGACCACTTTTGGCCACAAAATGAATTTTCCAAATTATTTTACTTTTTTATTTTATACACCCATACTTATTATATACTGCCATACTCAAAATATCTCATTATGAACTTATAAACAAACAATATTAAAAAATTAGGAAGTTTACATTTTTTCAGTATTATTGGAAAGTTTCTATTAAAGTTTTTCAAAAATTTTTATCATTTTATCATATATTTAACGATAATATAACAATACATAAATATCAATAAAAATCAATAAAAATTAATGATAATGAGATTTTCTGGACACTGGTCCCAACAGTCCACGATACATTTTTTGATATTTTTTGATATTTTCAAAAATTTTTATGTGTCATAAAAGTACCTTGTATTGATCTTCAACATCTAGCTGGAATTTTAATATTGCAGTTTCAATGATTTCAAATACACTTTCTGCTTTTATCAAGATTTTTTTACTACCTGGTGTGCATATTTTAAAAAGAGGCATTATGAAATCTTTTCTGAAAGCTGAAAAAAATATTATGAATATGACAAATTATGACTGAAAAATAATGTTGATATAATTAAATAATAATAATGACTAATATAATCAATTCTGAATTCATTTAGGTATTTGATAAAATGAAGATTATCAATTATGTACATATGTATAACTTTTAGTAAAAAATAATAAGACAAGACTTATAAATTTAGACATAAAAATTTGTGTACTTGACAATTTGCTTAAACGTTACAGAATGCAACAGAATATTATACATGTTAGATGTGATGAGTCACAAATCCATTGCGTGGTTTTATAACCAGCATATTTCCTAAATCGTATATATGCATAGGTTTAAAATCCATAATATCGTGCAATAGAAGGCATTCATATCTGATTTTAGGTCCCAGTTGATAAGCTCGCAGGTATGGTCTAAAATAACTTTCTACAACCTCAAAAAGAACGTACACATGCGTATCGACGGAACAAAGAAACAAACAAATTTTTCCGATAGTTATGTTCTCCTCATATCCATTTTGCCGGATCATCAAAGCATGTCCTTTTACGTATTCTGTTCCTTTATATGTTACCCTGATACATTGCTGACCGTCGCTAGGTACCTTCATTTTCACAATGACCGCTTTGATATCTTCGTGATATAAGTCCAAGTTCAAATCGCATAATTGGTAAAGTTCTGTTTCAAGTCTGTTGTCGGCACCCAGTCGTATTAGACTTTAAAAAAGTTCATGTTTAATACTCAACGATTTGATCACGTTGATAAAATTGAGAAGATACCGAATGGCTCTTTTAAAAAATCTATGTTTACTCTCAAACCTCATGGTCCAAACTTTTATTAAAGGACCGAAGTTTACAATTAAGGTACAATAATGAGAAATGTAGTAATGTTTCGGTCTCAGTCGAACAGCAGGAAATAACCTTTGCCTCATAGAAAGGTACTCCCAAATAATTCGATTCAGATAAGGTAAACATGATTTATTAATGATAGGCGAACATACTATTTCGATAAGTTCAGTCAACAAAAGCAAACAAAGCCACATATCATTATGTATATCCGCAATTTTATCTTCAATTAGCAGAGGAAAAATCCGTAAAAAGGTCCACATCTGGCATGCACCGCCAATAATCCGTATGCTTTTTGCTGGTAATGTGCAAGGCTTATCTTTTCTGTCTTCTGTTGAGTCAAATTTATCAATCCGCATATTGAGCTCGTTCAGTGTAAACCATTTTTCTCCGATGAAATAATCAATGAACAATTTTAAATCGAAGGCAACGACTCCTTCAAACACATCGTGCCCTATACATGGAGGTAATCCCGGCCCACATACGTGAAAGTTTTCTAATTCGTTAAAAATCGAAGAGAATTTGATACCTTGATAATGATTTTTTCGTTTTTTAATTTCATTCACGGCTTCATTATATGATTCAATAGTTATTTCTGTGTAAATATTGAACGCGCTATCCGCATCATAGAATTCATTTTTTGTTATTAAGCAAAATCTACAAAAATTTTGTGAAATGCTGAAATTTTCAATAAATCCTCCTAAACTGTGATTTCCAAGGTTGTCACCAGTAATAAAAACAAGAGAGCCTTTTATATATTGTTCGTCTATTTTGACTCCTTGCTCAATTCTTTTCAAATCAGTCACAACTTTACCATACACTATTTCATGTACAAAATCGGTCTCTTTACAAAGTGCCACAAGTTTAATGGCATTTACATGACATCGAATGTAATGAGGAACATTACCAATGGTCATGTAAATGGCCAATAACTTGTGTTTTTTTCTTGCAGCACCTATGGGATTAACTATTTCAAAAGCATCTTGGTAGAGTATGATTTGTAGTGCATCAGGATTTTCTTGAAAAAATTTATTGTTTTTAAAAAAACAGTTCCATCTGTAAAATCTTCCAGAATGTCATCACGACGTGGTACTTTCTGATGTTCAAATCTATTGTGAATGGATTTATCCGTAAAGTACCTTTTCAATGTTTGTATTATGGGTACGTAGACGAAGGATGTTTTTTTCTGTTTATTGATAACAACTTGAATAGGTTCTACATAATCAAATATAGTTTTATACATTTTTTTCGTTTGAAGTCCGTAGCAAGTTCATCTTTAGTTTTTAGAATGAAATCAGACTTAAATGCTTCGCTTAAAATTCGATTTATTTGTTCTGATGTAATGCCTTCTGCTTCGAGTCGTTCTGATAATCTGTTTTTAATTAATTCTTGTGCTTCTTCATGCATTTTGCATAATTCAGTTGTTATATATTGAACAGTGCTCGCTGGAAGCAAAAACTCACATTCTAATTTTAAATAAAATTGGGCTACATTTTTAGTAAACAGATCGAATTCATCATCAATATTATGTGGCACATCTACTTCCATACAAGTTGCATTTAATTGGTCATTAAATTCATTCATGTTGAATTCGATTACTGATTCGTTGAATAGCTGAAGCACTTGAGATGTAGATGCTACAGCGTTGCCATTATCGGGTAAGGTAATATTATTCGTTTCTATATCACGGCATTTTCTATGTATTCTCGTCAAATGACTTGTAAAGGAGGATATAATCGTATATTCCTTTTTGCACTGTAGATACGGACATACAATGAGATCATTCTCTTTAATGTGCAATTTTAAATGTGTGAACAA